CCCTCTTAATGCCCGGTAACGGTTAATGCGCAGGGGAACAGAGAGTGGAGTCCTTTGGATTGGAAAACGATAAAAGAAGTGAAAAATGCTATCGCACAATATGGGTTAACATCTAATTATACGCAACAAATGTTCGGTGCAATATTTAATACTGCAGTTTTTGTACCTAATGATTGTTATCATTTAGCTAAGATCTTGCTTCCTTTATGTATCATGGAATGGATATTTTTGCCATATCGATTGTCAAAAACTATTGTGACTAAGGTGGAAGCTATTGCCCAAGTTATCATCCGTTTAAGAAAACGATGTCGAGAGATAGCTGGTTTTGATCCTGCTATTATCTATGTCCCTATTAACGTGCTGTCTTGAAGGAGGTGAATAATCATCGACTTAGTCAACTTTTAACTGAATTATGGCAACTGGTAAATTCCTGAAAGCATGAGTATTTTATTGTCCACATTCGGAGCCATTCTGGCCTTCCTGGTAGTTTAGTGGAAGGTAAACAGTGTGCTGATCAATTCGTAGCTGCGGCATGGAATGGTCCGCCTCCTAATGCATTCCAGCAGGCTCGAAATTCACAGATGTTTTTCCATCAGGCTCCAAAAATGTTAATTTGACAGTTCAACATTCCATTATCAGACACTAAAGGAATTGTTCAAGCTTGTCCTGACTGTCAAGGACAAGTTTTCGGGGTGGGTTTAGGAGTTAATCCCCGAGGCCTACGACCATTACAGCTTTGGCAGATGGATGTTACTCATGTACCCAGTTTTGGTCATTTAAAATATGTACATGTTACAGTGGATACATTTTCTCACACTGTTTGGGCTACGCCTTTGGGGAGACAGCTCGACATGTAATGCTACATTTACGCGGATGTTTTGCAGCGCTAGGAGTTCCTCTTGAAATTAAAACAGATAATGGTCCCGCTTATACTTCACAGGCCTTGCAGCGATTTACGAACCTCTGGGGAGTGAAACATGTTACAGGTATTCCTCATTCCCCTACAGGACAGG